AGGGACATGATATAGTGCTACAAACAGGGAGGGGTGTTTATAGCAGCACTTGGAACCTTAAGTCCCATTCCTGGTCGCTCTACATTTGGGTCAGCTGAATGAAATCAAGAGCCTTACTCTGCAGAAAGGCTTCAGACCCAGGACATCAGATACAGAGGAAGTAAAGGCATAAAAAAGAAAAAAAAAAAAAAAAAACTTAATGTCTTCAGAGAGAAAAAGATACTGAACCCATCAAAGAAAAAAATTACAACAAAAAGTTTAGGAAACAGTCAAAGTTCAGTAATTCTCTCAGAAAACAGTACAAATAACATAAATATGGAATATTTGTTAACCAAAAACACCAAGAAGCAATTCACAGGTAAATTTCCTGAAATCAAAAGGCAGGTCTCTATTACACTGTTCATATGGGAGCTATTCAACTTTAATTACTTTTTTTGTTGTTTTTGTTTTTGCCAGAGGGCACAAGCTCTTGTCAGAGAGAAACAAGGGTGGAAGAAGAGAAAAAGCATCCCTAATGAAAGATGGTCAATCCTTTCTCATCCCTCTCCCCATCCTTTTAAGATTTTGGGCATGCAAGCAAACACGCATAACATGTTTTTCAGGCTACTGGGTACAGTACTCAAACTATGAAGTTGGCCATGTGAGATCTAGTGCCTTAACTACTGTGCTACTGGCTAGTCCTCAAATTTATTAAAAAATTAAAATCTCATCCCTTCCTCAATTCTCCACATTTTTAGTGTTCAACAGCCACATGTGGCAACTAGTTATAGTATTTGACAGTTCGGATGTAGCATGTCTCAATAATCACAGAACACTCTATTGAACAATAGTAGTCTAGACTGAAAATGTGGTCTGACTGCTAGCACAATAAGTAGGACCTCACGCTACAGTACATTTTCATAAGGAATCAGGGTACTGTGAATAAATGGAAATCCTAAGGATATTCAACAAAAAAGGGGGAGGGAAGAGTTTACAAAAAAGGAATCAGGAAAACAAATGCCTTCAACAGAGTATCAACTAATGGAAAATATTTGCAAAATTATGAAAGAAAATTATTGCAACCAATTTATACAAGAATAGGGGATTATAAGAAATGAAAGGCTATCCTGCACCCCCTTTCATAGGAAGCTATGAAGAAAAAGAATAAGCAAAAAAAGAAAGAAGAAGGAGGCCAAAAGGAAGACTACAGACATCTGGAAAGAAAAGTCCTAGTATGTGCATCAATGGCTTATGGAACACCACATCTAGATGAGAGCTAGAGGCAAAAGGCTGCATGAGGAGAGAGGTCTTGGAGGTAAGAGAAACAGAAGTGTGTGTGAACTGTTAGTACACTAGGTATACTGGAGCCAGCAGGTGGCATGATGGTTAAGGTGCTGGACTCCCACATGGCTGACCACAGTTCAAGTCCTGGAACTGGCAGCCTGCTTTCTCATTTTCCTTTTCTCTCTCAGACCCTCTCTGATTAATTTAAGTAGTAGTAGTAATAATAACAATAACAATAAATTAGAAATAAATAATTCCTTCAAAAAACTAGGTGTGTGTTGGGTCAGCCAGTGGCATAGTAGTTAAGGAAGCTGGATCTCATCTCATATGGCTGATTGCGCAGTTCGAGTCCTGGACCCAAAAGCTTGAAAAACACAGTAGACATCTGAACATGAGTGCTCAAAAATCACAAAAGAAAGAGAAATGGAGAAGGGAGTACAGCGTGACCAATCCTTCTGGGGGGTGGTTTCTTAGTATTTCTTCCCCCAACCCCAGTGAGTAAGCACATCCTCTGGCAAATTAAAAAGAAAACTATGTATTGTGGCAATTACTGGAATAGCTTAGAAAAATGAGAAATGAAAACACAAAAAACTAAGCAAATTTTACAATTAACTCTTAACACAAAGAACAACTCAGAGAAAGGTATAAGAAAGGAAACACCCTAACTTCCCTCAGAAGCAACTACAGTCAAAACAATATAAATACACAAAATTCTATTTAACCAAAAGTCATAATACAACAATACAGAAATGATGGAGGTAGGAAAAGGAGGATGACTGCTGGAAAAAGAACAAAAGAAAGCCTTTGGATAATTCTGAAACTTGACAAAGAAAAAAATGGAAGTATAAGATGACGTAGTAATATAAACCTCAACACCAGAATAAGTAGTAAGTTTTAAGTAGTTGCTTCTAAGGAGTGAGAAAGGGTAGAGCAGGGCCTGCTATGTTCCATTATAATTCATTTTTAATCCCATATGCATCTATCGATATTATTTATTTAAAAACAACACTGAAATAAAATTAAGAATAGAATAATGCTAAAATATAAGATAAAGGATACCTAGGGATAAACCTAACTAAGAAAGTCAAAGACCTTTATTAAGGAAACTATGAAAATCTTAAAAAAGTTATTGAAAGTGACATAAAAAAGTGGAAGGACATCCCATGCTCCTGGATTGGAAGAATTAACATAATCAAAATGGCAATTCCACCCAAATTAATCTACATGTTTAATGCAATTCCAATCAAAATACCAGAAATATTCTTCACAGATCTAGAAAAGACAATCATAGAATTTGTCTGGAATCATAAAAGACCTTGTACTGCAAAAGCAATCCTGCACAAGAAGAATGGAGTAGGAGGCATATGACTCCCTGATCCCAAGATATACTATAAAGCTGAGGTCACCAAAACAGCATGGTATTGGCATAAAAACAGACATGTGGACCAATGGAAGAGAACAGAGACCCCAGAAATAACCCCCAAAGCTTACAGCCAACTGATCTTTGACAAAGGATATCAGTCAATCCATTGGGAAAAAGAAAACCTCTTTAGTAAATGGTGCTGGAAAAACTGGATATCCACCTGCAGAAAGATGAAACTGAACCCCCATCTTCCACCATTAACAACAATCAACGCAAAATGGATCAAAGATCCAAACAATAAAACTACTGGTGGAAAATGCTGGGAAACTCTGGGAGACATTGGAGTAGGCAAAGATTTCTTAAATAAGACTCCCAAAGCACAGGCAATAATCCCTAAAATAGACAAGTGGGACTATATTAGACTAAGAAGTTTCTGCACAGCAAAGGACACAGTAACAAGTGTGAACCGACAACCCTCAGAATGGGAAAATATTTTTGTTAAATATGCCTCAGACAAGGGACTGATAACGAGAATACATAGGGAACTCAAGTGCCTTATGCGAAAAAAAATGATTAACCCGATTAAAAGATGGGAAAGTGAGCTGAACAAAAGTCTCTCTAAGGAAGACATACGAACAGCCAAAAAGCATATGAGGAAATGCTCGACATCCCTCATCATAAGGGAAATGCAGATAAAAACCACAATGAGATACCACCTAACCCCTGTCAGAATGGCAAAGATTAAGAATATAAAAAGTGATAAGTGTTGGCGGGGATGTGGTGAAAAGGGAACCCTCCTCCACTGTTGGTGGGAATGTAAACTAGTTCAACCACTGTGGAGAACAATATGGAGGTTCCTCAAAGATCTACAAATAGAACTACCATTTGATCCAGCAATCCCACTTCTGGGTATTTACCCAAAAGACAGGAGAACGCTCAGTCAGAAAAGTGCTTGCACATCCATGTTTATTGCAGCATTATTCACAATTGCCAAGACATGGAACCAACCTAAATGTCCACAAACTGATGAATGGATTGGAAAAGTGTGGTATATATACTCTATGGAATACTACTCAGCCATAAAAAATAACAAGACCCTGGAATTTGATAGAAAATGGTCAGATATGGAGGATCTATTGCTGAGTGAAGTAAGCCAGGCTATGAAAGAAAGATATTGTATGTATCCACTCAATATATACCGACTATCCGCACTCTATAATAGAGAGCAAAAATTCGGAGGACATAAACACAGTGAAGGTACTTAATGAGAATAGGACAGTGTGGAATGGGGTAAGTGAAGAGAAGAGGATAGAGAAAGATAGCAAGTGAACAATAGAGAGACAGGACGTTAGTGAGAAACAGATAGGGGTTATTAACTGTTGATGATGACATGTATAGTATTCTCAACTGGATTGGTCTGAGAAGTATTTCATGATGGGCAAAGTATTTTTACAAGCAAAACGAGAAATAACAATGAATAGGACAGTGTGGAATGGGGGGGTGAAGAGAAGAGGATAGAGAAAGATAGCAAGAGAACAAATAGAGAGGCAAAACTATATTGAGAAGTGGGGGGATTAATGTCTCTGTATTGACTGACATGCATGGCATTCCCTTTTGAAAAAGCAATGTAATACACTGTAAAGTTATATGTAATCCAATATAATATAAAGATTATGATAATAAAAATTTAAAAAATAAAAAAGAAAAAAGAATACCCAAAATACTTCTAAATACTGCTTATAAATACATTTACATTAAGTACTTTTTTTTTCTTTTTACATTAAGTACTTTTAAATAAACTAGAAGAGACTCTTGACTTTCCCCCCATAATTGAAGTCTATGTATCCCTTTCTTGGAGTAATTTTTTTTTTTTAAAGAGGTTTTTGCCTTAGGGTGTCTGTGTTTCCAGAAAGAGACAGTGAAACGGAAAGTGAGAATCCAATCTCCAATAGGGAATAGCCACACTGAAATCCCTTTTCCTCCATTCTCCTCCCGGAATCTTGGGCACACACACACACACACATGCCCGGCATGACTTTCAAGCCACTTGTCTGAGACAGGAACTGTCGTCAGCCATGTGGGAGTCCAGCGACATAATCACAACGCAATCTGCTAGCCCCAGAATGTTTTAAATGCACAAAGGAAATGGGGAAGAAAAGAGAAAACATTAACTACAGATATATTTTTATTGAATTTTTAATAAAATAATGTGCATTTTTGTCTACTAAAACATTAACTATGATCTACCACCAGTTATATTAACATCTATTATTTATTAGTTGTTGGTATAATAACCACTACCATATCGATATAGTAATACTGAGTATGGACAATATTTCAAGGTATGTGTAAAACTAATCTAAAATGTAAGTATCTATGACTTTGGTAACAACTACGCAGGTATTACTAAAAAGTGAAGCTTTGTTCTTACATCTACTGCTAAGTTTTAGTTAAAGGTTTATGAAAACATACAATGTTTTCTCCATCCATGTTCACTGACCCACTGACCCACTGCATTCTATCACCTACTCTTTGGACTAGAGGTAAAGAACCCTTCATTAAAAAGGATACATACCAAATACATAACAATGAATATGTCTGGAGAAAATAAGAATGGAGCAAAATGGACAGAGAAAGTATATAATAAAGGACTAACTCAGTATTTGATTTAACAAAAAAAGACAAGAAAAACAAAATACTAGTATCTGTTCATTCTGAACATATTTTATATATGTGTGTGTGTATTTTTTTTTAAACTTCTTCGTAATTTTTCTAAAAGGAACCTGGGCTTTAAAAGCAGTAAAATTCTGAGGCTGGCCTCATACCACAGTGATTAAGTGCTATACAGTGAAGTCAGAACCCACACATCCCACGTGGCCAACCAGGGTCCAAGTCCCAGCCTGCTTACATACCAGGCAAGCAAGTGTACCCAGGATCTTGACAGGATGGACAACTACAGGAAAAAGGAATGCAGCATGGCCAGGCAATAAGATGGGGGAGTGCTCGTTCTCTCTCTCTCTCTCTCTCTCTCTCTCTCTCTCTCTCTCTCTCATGCATGCACCCAATGACATAAAATAATTAAAAGGAGGAAAAAAGTGAACTTCAGTTCTAATTTTGCTTTTATTGACCTCAACTGTTTTAGATTAAAGAATCTGTGAAAGGCCTAACTGTGATGGCATGGCAATGCAACACTCTGTGATGCTAACAGCCACATGGAAGATCAGGGTTTGGTTCCAGGTCAACCTGTGCACACTAGGCTTGCAGGCATACCCATGATCCTGGATGGGTAAAAGGCTCCAGGGGGAAGTAAGTTCATGGTGTGAGATTGCTGAGGGTAGTTGCTTTGTCTTTCCTTCCCCCTCCCAACAAATAAACGTATTTTTAAAATCAGAAAGATATAAATAGTTAACAAGCACAATCAAAATGTTTCAAAACTATATAGTGTTGGAGGTTGAAGGATGAATTGCTGTGAAGCTTAAAAAAATAGCATAGAGAGCTTTAAAAATAGACAGACTTGGAGCTGGCAGGTGGTGTGTGGTTAGGGTGCTGAACTCCCACATGGCCAACAGCAGTTTGAGTCCTGGACATGGTGGCTTGCTTTCTCACTTAACCTCTCTCTTGTCTCTCTTTGGTCAAATTTAAAAACATAACCCAAAACAAAACCAAAAAAAAAAAAAAACAAAAAAAAAAACGCTAGTAATAAATAAAATTAAATGAATAATTCTTTTTCAAAAATAGGCAGACTTGGCTACTTCTCCAGTCACACATGGATGAAATGATATAATGTCAGATATATGCTTTACAATAATGTAAGAGGAGCAGGAAAAGGGGAATCATGAAAAACTAATTCTTAAAATTGGGTAATACGTGTATGAGGATATATTAGACTTACCCTTTCTGTATATGTTTAAAATTTGCCATAATTAACAAATACAATAAAATAAAGTGATTGAAAGGCCAGACCCATAGGACAGTGGTTAAGCACTACGCAGTGAGATCTAGATCCCACATGGCTGATCACAGTTCAAATCACAGCCCTGGCAACCTGAAAAACACATGAGGCCCCAAAATCCTGGAATGGTAGAGAAATGAAGAAAAAAAAAAAAAAGACTGTGGCATGACCATACTCCATTGTGGGGTGCTGGAGTGCTTTCTCTCTCTCTCTCTTTCTCTAAAGCACAGAGAGCACACATGTCTTCTAACAATAAAAAGCAAAAATAATAAAGTGACTGAAGAATTCAAATTACATCCACTGTTCCTACCTCTAACTTAGTTTTCCCTCTAATCATTTCCATACCTATCTCAGAAAGGTATGGAAAGCAACACAGAGCAACAAACTGCATATTAACCCAAAGACTCTGAAAATAAATTTAAATACATTAAATGTGATGATCTTGAAATTTAAAAAATCAGAATGGTTGGTAAAAAGAGTGACTTCACTTATTTTTCTTGTTAAGAGAGTTATAGTATCAACAAATTTCCCATTTTCAAAGAAACAGGAACTCTTCATATCTTTAAACTTTTAATCCTCCTTTGATAATTTTTATAGCCTCCTCAGGACTCCATGGTTTAATTATCATGAATCCATAGTAAAAGCACAGAAGGTGCAAATCTTATGGAAATATTCCCTGACATCCTTGATGTCAATCAACTGCTATCAATTTACATAGACTTTTCTTACAAAACAAAAAGGAGGAAAAGGAAGTCCAATTATTTGAGCCAATTAGAGTTCCCAAAATACACCTTAAATATAAAATATCTTACCCATGATCACAGAAATTTCATCCTAGCAAGTTTTCTTACCCAGACCCCTGGCTGCGATATCAGTAGCAAAAAGTACTGCAGCTCTCTTGCGGACAAATTCATTATAGACTTCCATCCTTCTCATCTGCTGCTGTCGACCATGGAGAGCAAGGATAGAAATACCAGGACGCAGTCGGCAGAACACTCGGTACAGATACTGAACCTGGGCATTAACAGAAAAAGGAGTTAGATATTTCTGAGGGCAGAAACAAAGCTTGCAAGATAAAGAGCAAACATGTATTAAAAAGTACAAACTTCACCAGTTAAAACAATTTAACTGAACCATGCTTAAAAAGACGATGCAGAGAAAGAGAAATGCAGTCTAGAGTGGCGGTCTTCAAACATTTTTGTTTGCTTATCTCCTAAAATAATTCTGGGAAAAAAAACTCTTCTTACATTTTAAAGTTGATATCTGAATTTTTTTCAAATTTGAATAATTGCATAGAATCTAATTTTGGCAAACAATGAAGCTTTAAAATAAATACTGGGACTAGCATATGGCGCAATGGTTACGTCACTGAACCCCAATGCAGTCAACTGCAGTTTGAGTCCTGTACTTGGCAGTTTAAAACTCACACCGGGTGTGTGTGCATGTGTGTCCAAGATCCCAAGAGGAGAATAGAGGAGGAGGGACTGCAACATGGCTATCTCCCCCGGGATGTGATTTCTCACTTTCTGTCTGTCTCTAGTGAGCACACAAGCCCTAGAGCAAAAATTTCTCTTAAATAAAACTTAATTTATTTAATTAAATACTTATAGAGCCAGCAGATGGCATGGTGGTTAAGGTACTAGACTCCTACATAGCAAATTACAGTTCAAGTTCCAGACCAGGTGGCTTGCTTTCTCAGTTTCTCTCTCTCTCTCACTCTCTGTCTGTCTGTCTCTGTCTCTCTGGTGAGTGCACATGCCCTATAGCAAACTTAAAAATGATAATAAAATTAAATGATTATTTAAATAAGTAAATACTTCTCTTATAAACATGTCAAGAAGATTCTAAACAGCAGAGCAATTTGCTACCCACCATCAGCCAAGCAAAAAAGGTGAACAAACTCCTTTTTAACAAAAATTTTATTTCTTTTCCTTCTTTAACTCTAATTTCTATTTCCTGATCCCACAGAACTACATCTTAAGTTTTAAGCTTTAACATTTTATTGATCATGTTATCGTATTCATATTCTCGTATTTCCTACAATGAAACTATGCATCAGGTTTAATTTCCTGAGGCTATAAGGCTGTATTAAACCCTTCACGTACTAAGCAATAATTACAATATGGAGTTTAATTTTATGGGGAAAGTCACTGGGGGGGTCTTAAGCAAAGCAGCGACATAGTCCAGTTTCTACTGTCCAAAGATCACTCAAGCTATAACAAGGAGAGGAAAATAAATGAAGAAGTTGGAAGGCTAGTTAGAAAGCTAAGAGAAATTGAAGCATGGTTCAGACTGTTCTGTGGCATGGGAAGTTATGAGAAATGACAGAGCTTGTGAGTTATCAACAGACTGAACATGGGATGAAGACAATTAAGGATTCAGTCATTTACTGAGAAAGGGAAGAATTGGGGAAGCAGATCTAAGGATAGAAACTAACAAATTATTTTTCCCATGTTAAATATAAAATGCCTTCTAGACACACAATTGCAAATATTCAGTAGTCAGGTAGATATAATAGTCTGAAGCTCACTCGAAAAAAAACTCAGGGCAGTTGTTAGTATACAGGTGGACCTGCAAGCCATCAAGCTGATGAGGTTACGTAGGAAGAGCACAGAAGGAAAGCAGATGAGTGGAGAGGTCTGAGGTACTCCAAATAGCACTGCTCAAGGAGAAAATCTGCCACAGAAAAGTTTAAAACAGAAAGCAAGATGGGAGAAGCAGTTGAGTGCAGGAGAGTTTAATGAGTATAGGGTCACAAAAGTCTAAAGAAGTGTTTCAAGAAAGAAGAAATGGTCATCTCTATCAAATGCTTCTGAAAGGTCAAATAAGATAGGATTGATAACTAAACACTGACTCTGGAAAGTCCTATCTCTTAAGGGCTGTTTCAGTGGAGGGTTGAGGAGAGAACAGAAGATGAGAAAGTGATTCACGTAACAGGTAAGTCTTTAGAAGTTTGCTGTGAAGAACAGAGACAAGAGGCACTGACTAGAAAGGGATATGGTATTTGTTTTTCACTTTTAATATGGGCAGTAATAAAGAATGAGGGTAAAAAGAAAACACAAGGGAGAGAGGATATTTGTGGTAGCAAAGGCTTTGTGCAAACGAGAGAATGGGGCTGCAGCACACACCAGGGTTGTCACAGAAGCAAGGACACTTCAAACACAGTGGCCAGAAGAAAGCATAATATTACAGAGCAAAAACTTCAAACAGAACCCATAAAATTACGTCCTAGTACTGTTTCTGATATTCCAAAGCCATTCCTTCTTTAGGAAAGTTCTGAAAACATAAAATAGGTCCTAGAAAAATCTGAAGTCATTCTTTACATGGTAAAATAACAGAGTTCAGTGTTTTTTTCCCCAAAAGGTAGAAACGGAGCACCTCTTATCTTCCTACAAGCTACAGAGGAGCTCATGAAGATATTTATCATTCTTTTTTTGTTGTTTTTGGAGAGGTTTTTGCTATAGGGTGCATGTGCTCGCCAGACAGATAGAGAGAGACAGAGAGACAGAAAGCGAGAAATCAACCCCCAGGGGGGATGGCCACGCCGCAATCCCTTCTCCTCCATTCTCCTCTCGGGATCTTGGGCACGCACACACACATGCCCGGCGTGAGTTTTAAGCCACCGGGTCCAGGACACAAACCGCAGTTGACTACATGGGAGTCCAGCGACATCGCCATTACGCTAACTGCTGGTCCCAATATTTATCATTCTATACTATTGTAAAAACTACAAATTGAGAACTGATCTACTAAACACCAACAATTATACATCATCAGGAATCTGAAATACAGAAGAAACAAGGTACACAAAAATCACCCTGGTCCCCATTCTTAAGGGAGAAAAGTTCTTATACATCTCTAAATTCCTAAGTCCTAGAACACAGCCAGTTTTAAGAAATTTCTGTATATCCTTTATATTGATTTTATTTATATATATGTGTGTGTATATATATATATGTCTATGTCTATGTATGTGTGTGTATATATATGTATAGATATATATTCATTCCATAAAAAAAAACATGCTGTGGGGGCCACAAGGTGGCATGGTGGTTTAGGCACTGGACTACAACATGACCGACTGTGGTTCAAGTCTGGGACCTGGCAACTTGAAAATCACACCAGGCATGTGTGTGTGCATGCATGCCCAAAACCCCAAGAAGAGAATGAAGAGGGAATTGTGGCATGGTCATCCGCCCTCAGGAGTGATTTCTTAGTTTTCCTCTTACTGCCTTGTCTGTCTCCCTCTCTCTGGCTCTCTTTCTCTCTGGCGAGCACATGTACCCTATGACAAAACCTTAAAAAAGACTAAACTGTGGCCCACGGAGATACATATCAATTATATGTAAACCTGAAATCATAATTAAAAAAAAAAAAAAAAAAGTTGGGCCCAGCAGGTGGCAAAGTGGTTAAGGGTGTTGGACTCACACATGGCTGACCACGGTTCAAGTCCCAGTCCTGGCAGCCTGCTTTTTCTCACTATCTTTCTCTTTCTCTCTCTGGTCAAATTACAATAAAACAAATGAATAAAGTTAAATTTTAAAATTCTTTAAAAAAATTAAAAATGTTCATTAACAAAATAAACAGAATAGAGGTGATTCTAAAAAAAGGTGGGGAGTGTCAAAAAAGCACTTTTATGTATAACAACTGGGCTTAACCTTAAAGACACAAAATATTTCCCCAGTATTAATGTGCAGGGAGGGCATTCCATATAGAGATCAGCCTGAACAAAGGCACAGAAATGAACAGCACATTCAGATCCATATTCGTGAAGGACAGATGGGGTACCAGATTATGAAGATACGTGCTTAGCCTAGCTAGTCACTGTTTATTCTACCAGTGTTTATTGAGTACTATTGTATTTACAAGATTGTCATCATCTAGTACAATACTGAAGACAGACATAGTTTCTGCCCTCATGGAGCGTAGCATGATAAATACATAGGTGAGTTTCCCTGTATGTGCGGGAAGATAAATGGCCTTTTTCTCTTGTTAGGAAACTTAACTCATTCACAGTTTCTTTCAGGACAAAGGCATAGGATTCTCAATATTTACAAATCCCTCACCACCCCTAGCACTGTATATCTATACAAGATAATGTTTCTATCTTGCTATTCAGAAGAGATAATTCAGCATGAACAAGTTCAAAAGGAAAAACAGTACCTCTTTACAACTTGAGAAAAATACAATACTCTTCTTCTTCAGATGGCTTTTCAAAAAGGAATACAGCACACTTATTTTTTGCTGCAGTTCACAAACTATGTAGTTCTGTTCCAAAGTGGCAGGAGTGCTTGTGGAATTCAGGGGAGAAAAACATTAAAAATATGTCATACTGGTAACTCTGAAATCCAGACCAAAATTCTATTAGAGGGATATTTCTCAAATTTTCCACACACATATGCTGTGCCCCCCCCAAAAAAACACACTTTATTTGTCCCTTGGGAAATACATTCAGTGCATAACTAAAATACATTCAAAATCCCTTTGACAAGCTAAAAGTTCACTGAAAATGTCAATTATAAAAGAACTTCACAGAGATAGCAAAATGTTTTACACCAAAATAGCAGGTGACTTCAAAAAGCTCATGAAAAAGTACAAATATGTTTTTCTGATATGAAAAAAAAATTGAAATCCATGCATATTATTTTTCATAATACAAATTTTATGTCAACTTTCTGAATATTCCCCCAAGAAACTAGTATTTAATTCCATCTTTCTGCGAATTTTTTAAAAACCTTCATCAGGGGGCCCACAGGTAGCATAGTGGTTACACTGATAGACTCACACATGCCCAACTACAGTTCAAGTCCCAGACCCAGTAGCTTGAAACACACTGAGTGCATGTGCGTGTGTGTCCAAGATCTTGGCAGAAGGGGCTGAGGTGTGGCCATTCCCTCTGGAGGGGTGATTTCTCACTTTCCGTTTCACTGTCTCAGTCTCTCTCTGGTCAGTGCACGCACCCTAAGACAAAAACTTCTTTAAAAAACTTTAATTATAATTTCTAGTGTATATATAATTGATGTATATCTTTGTGGATTACAGAATGATTTTTAAAGCATGCATACAGAATACAATAATCAAATCAAAGATATATCCAGATTATCTTCTTTAACACCCCTTGTGTACTCATACTGTAATTCCATTTTTCCATAAACTTTTTGAAGTTCCCCTTGATTATATGTCCAAAACACATACACATGTGCACATGCACAATCAAACACTGTAAGTGTAGAATCAGGATTGACTATGAGAAGGGGCATGAAAGAACTTTCCTGGCTGGTGATCATGTTCTATATCCTATTAGGAGGTGAGGTGAAAGATATAAACACTCATCCAAACTCAACAAATATAATGAAATATGCATAGAATAGTACAAAGAGTTTGGGATCATTTATCATGGTGAAGGTACACACCGTGCATATATACACGTATCCATGTGTCTGTTTGTATTATGAGAGAAAAGGCACAAATCAAAACTAGAAGACAACTGGTTTTAGATATGGCAAAAAAGGCCTGAACTGCAAAAAGAATTGATAATAAATTCTCAATTTTAATAAAATTCATCTTATTATTTTTTAAGAGTTTCTGCTGTAGGGTACATGCACTTGCTGTAGAAACAGAGCAAGAAAGAAAGACAAAAAGCAAGAAATCACCCCTGGGAGAATAGCCATGCCATAATCCCTTCTCCTCCGTTCTCCTCTTGGGATTTTGGGCACACACGCACACATGCTCAGCCAGAGTTTCAAGCCTCTCGGTCAAATCACAGCCAACCACATGGGAGTCCAGTGCTTTAACCACTATACCACCCACTGGTCTCTAAAATTGAAAATTTCTAATCCATATAAGACACTGTCAAGAGATTAAGACAAATCACAGAATAAGAGAAAATATTTGCAAATGATATATCTGATAAAAGAATTATACCCAAAATATATTTTTAAAAAAGCTCTTAAAATCATTAAGAAAACAAGCAGATGGCATAATAATGGTTACATTGCTTGATTCCCACATAGTCAACCACAGGTTGAGTCCCAGACCTGACAGCTTAAAATTCACACCAGGCACGTGTGTGTGCGGGCCCAAAATCCTGAGAGGAGCCTGAAGGAGAAGAAACTGTGGAGTGGCCACTCCCTCCACCTGGGGTGATTTCTAGTTTTCTGTCACTCCGACAAGTTTACACATCTCAAAAATCTCTAAAAAAAACTCAGAACACAAGCCTCACAATTTTAAAAAATTAATTATAAAAATTAAAATTATAAATAAAAGTAGGTCACAGACTCTAAAAGACATCTCCCCAAAGGCCATACTCACACATGACAAATAAGCATATAAAAAGATGCTCCACATCAAATTAAAACAGATACCATGACACACCTATTAGACCATTAACAACACCCAATGCTGGCAAAGACGTTGATATTCCATTGCCGGCAGGAATAGAAAAATGGTACGCCACTTTGAAAAACAGTTTGGCTTTTTTTTTTTTTTCTTTTAATATACAAAAGCAAACATACTCTTACCATCTGGTCTAACAATCATACTCCTTGGTATTTACCCCAAGGAGTTGAAAACATATGCCCACATAAAAACTTGCAAACAAATGTTTATAGCAGCTTTATTTAGAAGTAAAACTAGAAGACAATGGTGAATGGAAAAGTTGCATCCAGAAGATGGAATATTATTCAAAAATAAAATGCTAAAAATAAATATGCATATTACTAAGTAAAAGAAGCCAATCTGAAAAGCTACAGATTTTATAATTCCAATGTAACAATCTGGAAAAAGATAAGATTAGTAGTTACCAGGGGTGAAGAAAGAAGGAAGGATGAAAAAACAGCAGAGGATTTGAGGGCAGTGAAATACTGTAGCATACTATACTGGTGAGTCTATCTTATACATTTATTCAAATCCACAGGATATAAAACACCAAGTGTAGACCTGTAAGCACCAGGCTTCAGGTGATAAAGACACAGCAATGTAAATTCGTCAATTTTAGCAAATGTGCCACCCTAGTGGAGGGTGCTGATAACAGGAGGGGGTGTTGATAACAGGAGAGGCTGTAATTAAGACTTTAAAAATAAATAGGTCACCCAGAGGGAGATACAGGGAACTGAATAAAATAAAATTTTGCACAAAAGCAAAATGAAACAAATGAGTACTGACTTGATGGCTTTATGATATAAAGGAATCATTTTAAAGGAATTGGATTATTGCATCTTTACTGGGATTTCTAAAAAGGAAATGTAAAGCAAACTTCGTAAGTAATCATAACATTAGTAATAATACGGATTATCCTGAAACTCTTGTAGATAAAGAACTGCTACATGAGACAAGTAAGTCTTTAGGAATGAGGAGGTTTAGTATGAGAAAAGAGATACATATTTAAAAAAAGAAAAAGGTTCACTAAACCCTATAATCCTAAATTAGATTTGTAAGTAGCACCATCAACTCATGATGTGATTTCTCTTTAAAAAAGGAAGTCTGGGGCCAGTAGATGGCATACCAGTTACATTGCTGACTTCCACATGGCCACTTGTGGTTCGAGTCACAGACCCAGTGGCTTGACAATCACACCAGGAGCATGTACATACGTAGCCAAGATCCCAGGAGGAGAATGGAGAAGAGACTGAAGCAAGGCCACTCCCCCTCGGGGGCGATTTCTCCATTTCTTGCTCCAGAGAGCACATATACCCTATAGCAAACTAAAAAAAAAAAAAAAAAGAGAGAGAGAAAAGTCTGTCCCTGGAAAGTCTAAACCTAGTTAATGGCACTTAGACTATGGTCTTTAAGTAACTTATCATACTAAAAGGATTTTATTAAAAGCTGGAAATAAACAAAAGCGCCTAGACCACCAGATAACAAGAAGTTCAAAGACTACTGAGATGAGTCAAAGGATCCAGGTAACAGCTTGAAGCATCTCCTACTAGCCCAGTTTGGGACAAGACAATTTGACTAGTTAAATGTAATAATTTTTACTGGTTGAAAGATATCAATATTTAAGCCTGTAAGTTAAATAAACATAGCTCATCATTAACTTATTAATTATCATTAAATCTGAGTTCACTGTAATACCAAAAAACTAAAACACAGCTCATCTTCGGAAAACACTGGGAAATAAATTCAGTCTAAAAGCTGACAAAGAAAAAGCATATATTCTAGTATTCAGGCTCTTCTGCAAGAATCATACCTCACATTATCACAGAGCTCACATAATAAGGCTATATGATATAAAAGTATTTCAGCCAAAGGAGAAATGATGGAATTATAATTCATAATTTACAAGCCCTAATGAAATAATTAAGTTAGCAATGACCATCATAAGATGCTCAAGTTCAAAGGTTAAAAGGTTACTGGCTTCTGCGTTAAAGGAGCTGCTTGTATCAGAGTCATCCTTTGACCTAGAAACCAACCACAAAAGCTGGATTATATATAAAGCAAAACAAACAAGACTGGAGGCTTCAGAAAGTACCTCAGGAGCCAGACTTGAAGTGCTAAAGGACTTGCTATGTATATGTACTTATTTGAGGTGTGAAATGCCCTCAGACAAGCTTCATCATAGCCTCACTTTTCACCCAAAGCATTTGCTGATTCTAAAACAGGAGACACATGTGACAACCTTAAGCCTAAATATGTCAGTTCCAGCTCCCAGAGAGAAGGAAGAGGGAATCTAAAATAATTATTATAATTTACCCTTAAGGAATGTATCAACTCTTAAACAGAACATGCACAAAATAGGGAAAAACAAAGCAAAAAAAAAAAAAAAAAAATGGAAAAAAAACTGAGAGGGACCAGCAGTTAGCGTAATGGCTATGTCGCTAAACTCCCCTGTAGTCGACCATGGTTTGAGTCCCAGACCTGGTGACTTAAACTCACACCAGGTGCATGTGCATGCCCAAGATCCCGAGAGAATAGAGGAGAAGGGATTGTGGCATGGCCATCCCCCCAGGGGGTGAATTCTTTCTCTCTCTCTCTCTCTCTCTCTCTCTCTTACTGGAGAGGCACATGCCCTACAGCAAAAACGTCTCCAAAAAGAAAAAGAAAAAGAACTGAGATTCTGGCTGTCTCACAATGCTACAAAGTTCAAAGCTACCAAGGCGGAGGTACTCTGGTAAACACCTCAGACTTTATATCGAGACCTTGAAAAGGGCTAATTCCTACGAGTCAGGACTATCCTCCCACGTCTTGGGCCAAACAAGAAAGAGAACAGCCCCTAAATCTAATTGCCAGGATAGAACAGATCAAGATAACCTACCCTTATGACATTTGCCTGCCAGGAAAAAAAAATAAGGA